AAATGCATGGGAGAAGAGATGGAAATAAGCAATGACCCATCCAAACAACAGGACAAGCCCTTGCACCTGCTCTGCCCTGCCAGCTAATGAACTAATAAAGACGACAAGCCCGCCCCAGAAAGAGAAAGATAATAAATATGGCCCCAAAATACGCAATCTTTTGGTGGGGTAGGTTGGTGGCTGGCTGGCTGGCTGACAGTCTAAGTATGTACATGCATACAAGCTGGTGGGATCAATACTCTAGCTAAAACCACTTTCCACCAAACGACTAAGAGATCACAGGGCCTCCTACTACGTCTTTCCTCCCTTTCATCTCATCCCTGGTTTGCTTAAAAATTTGAATAAGTCATCAGTTAGCCTCATACCACCCACCATGAAGAAGAAAGATCAAAGCTTTGGTACAGTACATAACTATGGTTAGTAGCTCTATAACGAAAATTTTTCTCCTTTCAAAGGAATGCAAAATGGAAAAGTGAGACCAATACCAAAAAGATTGGAAAGCTGAAAATGTTTTGAAAACACACAAGAACCAAGGAAAAAATTGAAATTCTATTTCTAAAATAGCTCGAAACATCCCGAACACTGCAAAAAATAGAAATTTAATATTGAATTGTTGATTCGTAAAAATGTTTTGTTGCAACCTTACACTAAGGTACACAACTTTTGAATGGAGAAAGTTCACTTGAATTAAAGGTTATAATAATTCATAGAAAGGGTATCTGCAGGTCAAAGGTGGATTATTTTTTAAGCTTTGCAGAGCTATCCAGGAGGTCAAAGGACCAAATGGCTAGCTGACCTACTCCTACTCAGCTGAACAATGCACTGATTTACCAACTCTATTAGCAACTTGGCCTGCTAAAAAATGTAAGGAGACAAATCCGGGACAAGAAATATAAACAAAATAAATAGACAAAAAGATTAATTCCTTAAAATAGTAAGAGGAAAAGAGAGTAGGAAAAAACGAAACTCAAACATTAGTAACCCTTGAGTCACCAAAAACAAACCAAAAGAATCATAGCTCAGATCATATAATAAATTCACAACCCAAAACCCAACCAGGCAAACAAGTTCTCCCGCCTCCCCAAAACAAAATTAACAATAGAGGGGAACTAAACCCCCCAAAATCCTAGTCAACAATAATACACCTAAATAGGTTAGCTTCTTCTCACTATAGCTTCTACCAATTTTTTGACATTACATCACAAACCACCAAGTTTCTCAACCACTCTGTATAAAACATCAAAACAATTCCTACATATACAGTCAACAAACCTACTACATAATTACAATATAAGATCATTTAAAATACCTCTCTAAGGGCTTGAAGTAGAAGCTTCTTGTCTTGGTTCTCTCAGGTACCCAAGTAAAGTTTCAGCCTGCCAAAAACAATTAAACCCTGTTTTAATTCAGCTACCCAAAAAAATACATCCGGGTGTGAACAAAATTCAAATTCCATTCATTGACTTGTACAAGCACCAAGGCAATACATCACAGTCACTAAAAAACCAGAAGTCAGTTACATAAACAAGGACTCGATGTATACTTGCAGACTTCAACACCATGACAATCATGTAATTGGTTTTTGCACATGTGGACAACAATCCATCCAAAACAAATTGCAATTCCTTTTATGCTAAATCTATCGCATGATTGAACCAATTTAACCAAGAAAACATGTTTTGTACGGAGCACTAAACAGTATACGAGCTATGCATAATCCAGATCTGCAATAACCAGCAAGCCACTACAGGAACCCATTTCAGATCACAAGCATTCAAATACGATGAATACAGATAAAAAAAAAAAAAAAAACTCACCTTGTGCTTGGCTTTAGCAGTCCCAGTCTGCGAAAGAGCGACAAGAGGAGGAATCCCACCTTCCCTAACAAGCAACCCTCGATTCCTAACACTATCACCACACAACTGCAACAACGTCAACACCGCAAACTCCTTCCCTTTGGCCGACCCATCCTCAATTGCCTCCACAAGCGCTGCAATCCCACCTTCCTCCACAATCGCCTGCTTCCCCTCCTCAATCCCAGCCAAACTACTCAGCACCACCATTGCCTTCTCCGCCAACCCCGTCCCATTCTCACCCACCAAACCCACCAACACCTTCACCGCCCCAGCACTCACCCCCCTCTCTTTATTCAGCTTCACTGAACAAAGCTTATACAGCGTAGTCAATGCGTCTTTTTTCCCTCTATTCGACCCATTAATCAGCAAAGCCACCAATGGTGGTATGGCGCCTGAAGCCCCTATAGAAATCTTGTTCTCCTCAACCAAAGCTAAGCTCAACAAAGCGCACGCCGCGTTCTGTTTTGATGCTTCAGTTCCGGTTTTCAACACGAACACGAAGGATTTCACGGCGCCGGCGGTTGTTATCAAGCTTTTGTTCTCTTCGTGGAGTGAGAGATTAAGCAAAGCTGTGACAGCATGCTCTTGAGTCGAAGGGTCACTACTCTTTAACAGAGGTACTAGAGCTGGTATAGCACCGGATGAGCCTATCAACGCCCGATTATCAGACCGATTCTTTGCTAGTAGTCTCAATTTCGCCGCCGCCGATCTTTTCACAGCAACCGACGACGAATTAAGGCCGTCGATGCAGATTTTCACTGTCGGTTGAAGATCCTCCGGCGAAATACTTTCTATAATCTCCGTTGAAAAGCTCTCTCTCTGCAAGAACCCATAGCACGGCTCCGGTTCGGGTTCCGAGTTCGGATTCGGATCCTGGTTTTCGGCATTTGGGAGAGTTGCAAGACGCTGTAACTCGCCGGAAATATCGCTGCTACAAGCCGAGAAATCGCTGAAAGCTTGAGACAGATCGAAAAAATCGTCTTCTGAAGATGAGGACTTGACCGATTGGTTGGTACGAGAAGCAAGTTCGCCGAGTCGGAGGTCGATGACAGAATCGGTTAAGTTTTCGGAGACATTGGCTGATCTTTCCGGTGTGGTTGGTCCTGGAAATGAGCAAGAGTGGTCGGTCTGGAAGAGATTGGAGCGGATAGTGCGCATGGAGCGGCCGAGAGGTCTCTGGATCTTGTTCCATGACGGAGGTGGAGTGTAGTAAGGTCGCCGTTGTGAGAAGCGAGTGGAACTGGAATGAGATTCTTCAAGAGAAACCATTGTTATTGAGCCCAGAAGAAAGAAAGGCGCAAAGGGAATAAAGATTGGTTTTTTCAAGAAATTTTCATGAGAGATAGAGAGCTTGAATGGTTGAGAATAATGGAGTGGCAGAGAGGACAGAGAAGGCAGTGAATAGAATGGATTTTAATGGGTGGAGTAAATGGGTGGATTTGGTCTATTTATTTTTGAGTAATCCTATATGAATTTAAAAAAGTATAAAGTCACGAGGCACTGTTGCTGATCGTGGTCACAGACCAAAAGTTGAAGCCAGGAGGGTATGGGTCCAAGGGTGTGGCCTACATGGAATTATCCCCATCTTTAATTTAATTTGAATAAATAAGGTATTGTCACCGTCCCAATCGAGGGGTGGGACGTTTGTATTCTCTCTTGGCAGCTTGAGTTGGATTGTCGGCGAGGGGAAATTGAAGTTTCATAGAACACCCCCCCCCCCCCCCCCCCCCCCCCCCCCCCCCCCCCCCCCCCCCCCCCCCCCCCCCCCCCCCCCCCCCCACCCCCCCCCCCCCCCCCCCCCCCCCCCCCCCCCCCCCCCCCCCCCCCCCCCCCCCCCCCCCCCCCCCCCCCCCCCCCCCCCCCCCCCCCCCCCCCCCCCCCCCCCCCCCCCCCCCCCCCCCCCCCCCCCCCCCCCCCCCCCCCCCCCCCCCCCCCCCCCCCCCCCCCCCCCCCCCCCCCCCCCCCCCCCCCCCCCCCCCCCCCCCCCCCCCCCCCCCCCCCCCCCCCCCCCCCCCCCCCCCCCCCCCCCCCCCCCCCCCCCCCCCCCCCCCCCCCCCCCCCCCCCCCCCCCCCCCCCCCCCCCCCCCCCCCCCCCCCCCCCCCCCCCCCCCCCCCCCCCCCCCCCCCCCCCCCACCCCCCCCCCCCCCCCCCCCCCCCCCCCCCCCCCCCCCCCCCCCCCCCCCCCCCCCCCCCCCCCCCCCCCCCCCCCCCCCCCCCCCCCCCCCCCACCCCCCCCCCCCCCCCCCCCCCCCCCCCCCCCCCCCCCCCCCCCCCCCCCCCCCCCCCCCCCCCCCCCCCCCCCCCCCCCCCCCCCCCCCCCCCCCCCCCCCCCCCCCCCCCCCCCCCCCCCCCCCCCCCCCCCCCCCCCCCCCCCCCCCCCCCCCCCCCCCCCCCCCCCCCCCCCCCCCCCCCCCCCCCACCCCCCCCCCCCCCCCCCCCCCCCCCCCCCCCCCCCCCCCCCCCCCCCCCCCCCCCCCCCCCCCCCCCCCCCCCCCCCCCCCCCCCCCCCCCCCCCCCCCCCCCCCCCCCCCCCCCCCCCCCCCCCCCCCCCCCCCCCCCCCCCCCCCCACCCCCCCCCCCCCCCCCCCCCCCCCCCCCCCCCCCCCCCCCCCCCCCCCCCCCCCCCCCCCCCCCCCCCCCCCCCCCCCCCCCCCCCCCCCCCCCCCCCCCCCCCCCCCCCCCCCCCCCCCCCCCCCCCCCCCCCCCCCCCCCCCCCCCCCCCCCCCCCCCCCCCCCCCCCCCCCCCCCCCCCCCCCCCCCCCCCCCCCCCCCCCCCCCCCCCCCCCCCCCCCCCCCCCCCCCCCCCCCCCCCCCCCCCCCCCCCCCCCCCCCCCCCCCCCCCCCCCCCCCCCCCCCCCCCCCCCCCCCCCCCCCCCCCCCCCCCCCCCCCCCCCCCCCCCCCCCCCCCCCCCCCCCCCCCCCCCCCCCCCCCCCCCCCCCCCCCCCCCCCCCCCCCCCCCCCCCCCCCCCCCCCCCCCCCCCCCCCCCCCCCCCCCCCCCCCCCCCCCCCCCCCCCCCCCCCCCCCCCCCCCCCCCCCCCCCCCCCCCCCCCCCCCCCCCCCCCCCCCCCCCCCCCCCCCCCCCCCCCCCCCCCCCCCCCCCCCCCCCCCCCCCCCCCCCCCCCCCCCCCCCCCCCCCCCCCCCCCCCCCCCCCCCCCCCCCCCCCCCCCCCCCCCCCCCCCCCCCCCCCCCCCCCCCCCCCCCCCCCCCCCCCCCCCCCCCCCCCCCCCCCCCCCCCCCCCCCCCCCCCCCCCCCCCCCCCCCCCCCCCCCCCCCCCCCCCCCCCCCCCCCCCCCCCCCCCCCCCCCCCCCCCCCCCCCCCCCCCCCCCCCCCCCCCCCCCCCCCCCCCCCCCCCCCCCCCCCCCCCCCCCCCCCCCCCCCCCCCCCCCCCCCCCCCCCCCCCCCCCCCCCCCCCCCCCCCCCCCCCCCCCCCCCCCCCCCCCCCCCCCCCCCCCCCCCCCCCCCCCCCCCCCCCCCCCCCCCCCCCCCCCCCCCCCCCCCCCCCCCCCCCCCCCCCCCCCCCCCCCCCCCCCCCCCCCCCCCCCCCCCCCCCCCCCCCCCCCCCCCCCCCCCCCCCCCCCCCCCCCCCCCCCCCCCCCCCCCCCCCCCCCCCCCCCCCCCCCCCCCCCCCCCCCCCCCCCCCCCCCCCCCCCCCCCCCCCCCCCCCCCCCCCCCCCCCCCCCCCCCCCCCCCCCCCCCCCCCCCCCCCCCCCCCCCCCCCCCCCCCCCCCCCCCCCCCCCCCCCCCCCCCCCCCCCCCCCCCCCCCCCCCCCCCCCCCCCCCCCCCCCCCCCCCCCCCCCCCCCCCCCCCCCCCCCCCCCCCCCCCCCCCCCCCCCCCCCCCCCCCCCCCCCCCCCCCCCCCCCCCCCCCCCCCCCCCCCCCCCCCCCCCCCCCCCCCCCCCCCCCCCCCCCCCCCCCCCCCCCCCCCCCCCCCCCCCCCCCCCCCCCCCCCCCCCCCCCCCCCCCCCCCCCCCCCCCCCCCCCCCCCCCCCCCCCCCCCCCCCCCCCCCCCCCCCCCCCCCCCCCCCCCCCCCCCCCCCCCCCCCCCCCCCCCCCCCCCCCCCCCCCCCCCCCCCCCCCCCCCCCCCCCCCCCCCCCCCCCCCCCCCCCCCCCCCCCCCCCCCCCCCCCCCCCCCCCCCCCCCCCCCCCCCCCCCCCCCCCCCCCCCCCCCCCCCCCCCCCCCCCCCCCCCCCCCCCCCCCCCCCCCCCCCCCCCCCCCCCCCCCCCCCCCCCCCCCCCCCCCCCCCCCCCCCCCCCCCCCCCCCCCCCCCCCCCCCCCCCCCCCCCCCCCCCCCCCCCCCCCCCCCCCCCCCCCCCCCCCCCCCCCCCCCCCCCCCCCCCCCCCCCCCCCCCCCCCCCCCCCCCCCCCCCCCCCCCCCCCCCCCCCCCCCCCCCCCCCCCCCCCCCCCCCCCCCCCCCCCCCCCCCCCCCCCCCCCCCCCCCCCCCCCCCCCCCCCCCCCCCCCCCCCCCCCCCCCCCCCCCCCCCCCCCCCCCCCCCCCCCCCCCCCCCCCCCCCCCCCCCCCCCCCCCCCCCCCCCCCCCCCCCCCCCCCCCCCCCCCCCCCCCCCCCCCCCCCCCCCCCCCCCCCCCCCCCCCCCCCCCCCCCCCCCCCCCCCCCCCCCCCCCCCCCCCCCCCCCCCCCCCCCCCCCCCCCCCCCCCCCCCCCCCCCCCCCCCCCCCCCCCCCCCCCCCCCCCCCCCCCCCCCCCCCCCCCCCCCCCCCCCCCCCCCCCCCCCCCCCCCCCCCCCCCCCCCCCCCCCCCCCCCCCCCCCCCCCCCCCCCCCCCCCCCCCCCCCCCCCCCCCCCCCCCCCCCCCCCCCCCCCCCCCCCCCCCCCCCCCCCCCCCCCCCCCCCCCCCCCCCCCCCCCCCCCCCCCCCCCCCCCCCCCCCCCCCCCCCCCCCCCCCCCCCCCCCCCCCCCCCCCCCCCCCCCCCCCCCCCCCCCCCCCCCCCCCCCCCCCCCCCCCCCCCCCCCCCCCCCCCCCCCCCCCCCCCCCCCCCCCCCCCCCCCCCCCCCCCCCCCCCCCCCCCCCCCCCCCCCCCCCCCCCCCCCCCCCCCCCCCCCCCCCCCCCCCCCCCCCCCCCCCCCCCCCCCCCCCCCCCCCCCCCCCCCCCCCCCCCCCCCCCCCCCCCCCCCCCCCCCCCCCCCCCCCCCCCCCCCCCCCCCCCCCCCCCCCCCCCCCCCCCCCCCCCCCCCCCCCCCCCCCCCCCCCCCCCCCCCCCCCCCCCCCCCCCCCCCCCCCCCCCCCCCCCCCCCCCCCCCCCCCCCCCCCCCCCCCCCCCCCCCCCCCCCCCCCCCCCCCCCCACCCCCCCCCCCCCCCCCCCCCCCCCCCCCCCCCCCCCCCCCCCCCCCCCCCCCCCCCCCCCCCCCCCCCCCCCCCCCCCCCCCCCCCCCCCCCCCCCCCCCCCCCCCCCCCCCCCCCCCCCCCCCCCCCCCCCCCCCCCCCCCCCCCCCCCCCCCCCCCCCCCCCCCCCCCCCCCCCCCCCCCCCCCCCCCCCCCCCCCCCCCCCCCCCCCCCCCCCCCCCCCCCCCCCCCCCCCCCCCCCCCCCCCCCCCCCCCCCCCCCCCCCCCCCCCCCCCCCCCCCCCCCCCCCCCCCCCCCCCCCCCCCCCCCCCCCCCCCCCCCCCCCCCCCCCCCCCCCCCCCCCCCCCCCCCCCCCCCCCCCCCCCCCCCCCCCCCCCCCCCCCCCCCCCCCCCCCCCCCCCCCCCCCCCCCCCCCCCCCCCCCCCCCCCCCCCCCCCCCCCCCCCCCCCCCCCCCCCCCCCCCCCCCCCCCCCCCCCCCCCCCCCCCCCCCCCCCCCCCCCCCCCCCCCCCCCCCCCCCCCCCCCCCCCCCCCCCCCCCCCCCCCCCCCCCCCCCCCCCCCCCCCCCCCCCCCCCCCCCCCCCCCCCCCCCCCCCCCCCCCCCCCCCCCCCCCCCCCCCCCCCCCCCCCCCCCCCCCCCCCCCCCCCCCCCCCCCCCCCCCCCCCCCCCCCCCCCCCCCCCCCCCCCCCCCCCCCCCCCCCCCCCCCCCCCCCCCCCCCCCCCCCCCCCCCCCCCCCCCCCCCCCCCCCCCCCCCCCCCCCCCCCCCCCCCCCCCCCCCCCCCCCCCACCCCCCCCACCCCCCCCCCCCCCCCCCCCCCCCCCCCCCCCCCCCCCCCCCCCCCCCCCCCCCCCCCCCCCCCCCCCCCCCCCCCCCCCCCCCCCCCCCCCCCCCCCCCCCCCCCCCCCCCCCCCCCCCCCCCCCCCCCCCCCCACCCCCCCCCCCCCCCCCCCCCCCCCCCCCCCCCCCCCCCCCCCCCCCCCCCCCCCCCCCCCCCCCCCCCCCCCCCCCCCCCCCCCCCCCCCCCCCCCCCCCCCCCCCCCCCCCCCCCCCCCCCCCCCCCCCCCCCCCCCCCCCCCCCCCCCCCCCCCCCCCCCCCCCCCCCCCCCCCCCCCCCCCCCAC